CGAATTGCTGTACCTATTTTTCGGGCGAATTGAAATTCTGACCGAAGTTGCCTACAGTGTGGAACTCCTCCCCACGTGCGAAGTCGCACCCTGTTTGAACAAGTCGCTCACTGTTTTGATCTTTGATAACACGGCTCAGCTGGAATGATCGTTTGAAGAAGTGACGTCTATTTAAATGTGTCTGCGATAACAGCAAATAATTCATCATAACCCCCCCTCCCCGCTCCCCCCAAAGCTTCTCCTCCGAGGCGATAACAGCGGATAAAAACATTGCCGTAAAGTCTCGAAACAGACGCGTGAACACCGCACGCCTACACGCGCGCGCACGCCGACACCCGCGCGCGCACACATACGCGCACGCACAACATACGCGCGCGCCCACGCACGCGCACAAAGCAGAATATTTTTGGGGCTGGAAACGAAACGGATTCCGTCTCCCTTCACCGCCCGCCCCCCTCCACCCACGCGCTGTGCTATCGCGGCACAAACAGCTGAGCAACTACGCGACTCCTAATGAGCTCAAACGAACACTAGCACAGCCAAAACGTGCAGCTATGGACGCGATAGTTAAGGGAACGCTACAAAAAAAAAACAAGCCACAACGTTCGAGTGAAACGGCAGCGAAGCGTGGATGTACACTGCCTCGGGCTGCTGTCGTTTTCGCTGTTGCTGCTGCTGTTGTTGTCAAGGTTTCAGCCAGGATTAACTTTTTTTTTACAAATAAATAGATAAATACACAAACTAGTCATATCGATTGGTTATTCTTCTCTTTTAAAACGAGCCCCACTTGGCAGTCGTGCATCGCGCATGACCGGTCGTTCTGGGCACGAATGGCTCGTTCCTGGGTTATGGGGTTCGAGTTGGCGCTCAAACGCAGAATCGCGCCCCTATTCGTTCACGGCGGAGAAAGGCTTAATGCCGGCTGTCGATGCTATTCCCAGGACGAGCAAATTATTTGCGCGACAGTTGTTTGCCTAAATAATGAATGCGATTGGGTTACTTAAAAGTCGTGGACTTAATTCTTTAGCCCATTAGCACCTGGCCCCCCGGCTCATCACGAAGATAGTGAACTAAATGATATCGACTTCTTGGTTCTTTCGGTAAAGTCACGTAGAATGAGAATAAAACAATACAACTAAATAAGACAATAAAATTCTCACGACGTTTCGGCCACAACACAAGTGGCCGAAACACAAGTGGCCGAAACGTCGTGAGAATGTTATTGTCTTATTTTGTTTTATTCTCATTCTACGTGACTTTACCGAAAGAACCAAGAAGATTAATCCTTGCAGTCACGAAAGCTTTAAATCGAAATTTAAATGATATCGAGTTAAACGGTTACTTAGGCGAGTTGTCGTGACAACTGCACGGGAATCATTGATGTAACACAATGGAGGTTCACGTTGGATAACATCTCTCGCGCGCGTATCGAGTGAGGGGTACCTTAGTCTGGCTAAATGAGCCTTTGGCACGTGTGTTGACCCCCCCCCCCGCCCGCTCTCCCTGATTAACGCTGACCCTGGGAATGCTGCCGTGCTCTAAACCCCAGCTCTTACAAAAAAAAAATCTCTACATCCGAAAAAAAATCACCCCATGAGCCTTTTCCATACCAACGCTTTCCAGCAGAATTTGCACAAGCGATGCAAACTCTGGGCGGATTTCGACTTTGTGGGTCTCACCAGCAGTCCGACCTGTTAAACAAATGCTGCCAGGCTGACAGCTGTTATTGGCAAGCGCACTTCACACGCATGATGGGGCCCGTTTTATTGTCTTCTGAGAAGACCCACTTTCTTATACACCCTGCCCTGAATATCTACCACAATTCACAACAATAATAATAATAATAAAAAGCATAGTTCATGCCGCAAAAGTTTGTTGTTTTGTCCTAGTTATACCTCATTTTAGAATACATGTCTGTTGTGTCGGTCGTCGCCTGGAAGCTGCCTTAGTCTGACCAATAAAGTCTTAGAGATGCCTCTTGAATAACAACTGTACAGAAATAATTTCATGAATCGCATGCCGGACCAGGTCCATCTAGTTCCGGCGTCTCACTTAAAAATCACGTTGTTATTGTTGTCGTTGTTTCTCTTATCTGTAGAATTGCATTGTTATGCAGCACTGATGGTGCACGGCCACAAAGATAACTTGTAAAAGTACAAAACCACCTCTATTTGCGGTCACGTGTGGATGAGTCCCATATACTTGTATTTAAGTCTTCCCCCCCACCCCCACGGGTCCACTCTGTGTACCCATGGCGTAGCGCAGTTAGCACGAGTCCTGGGTGCAAATAATAAAATGGGGCCAATGTGTAGCCTGGCGCCTGGGCTCCTCCATCCCGTGGGGTCCCGGTGCAATTGCACCGCCTGCACACTCGATGGCTAGGCTGAGGGTGATCGCGACTGCACGATCGCGCATTTGGTCCGAACAGTGTCCTTCGACTAAGCCGAACGAGAGCCCGCTCGAGCCGACCTCTTGCAACGGAGATCTGGGGTCTCTATAGCTACGAAGTAGTCGTTGAGATCATGTGGATATACAATTCCTGGTTGCATTGAATTGTTTGGGGAGCGGTGGCGCAGTGGTTGGCGCACTGTGCTATGAATCCTTCGATTATTGGCCCTTAAACGACCTGACGAGGGTGAAGTATGGTCAAACAACTTCTAAGACCTTCACGGCGTGGGGAGGCTTTCACCCAGCAGCAGATTGACAAAACGGTTGGAATTTTTCATTGTTATTAATTAAATTATCGTATATCTTTTATATATTACAGTTGGGATAATTACACTCGCACAGAGACACCTATTGCCGGCGTCGTGAAAGTGTCAACTAAGTCGCTGACGAAGTGTTAACGTGGCAGCGCACAGCGCCCAATCGAAACTTCCAGAAGAAATTCCTGGTCAGGTGCAGGCGTACGGGGCCGATCATGCACATCTACATCGGTAGCCAGCACGTGACATGTCCATTGCGTCAACGCTGTTTGGTTATTTTACTCTGATCACACGTTAACGACGGAACTCGTTAATTCCCGCGACTTACGTCGCCCCAGCTTTGTTTTGCATGTACAGACGTTTGAGAAAACACCACTAATCTGCCAATCGATTAATCGTTTTACATCTCCACCCTGTATCGCTCTCGCCGACTCGCTCCATTTCGTTGTTTTTTTTTTAGTTTACGCGTCGTAACCCCCAAGCGATCGGTAACCGTCACACCGTAAACCAACATCCGCCATTCGTCATCAAATGACGGTGACGTCACCACGGCGCCTGTGCCAGGCCAGGTGCACTTTGAGGCCACGTGAAGTATCGAAGGCTCGCTGACAGGAGGTCACGGGACAGACCCAGCAGGTGCCATGGGTCGGCTGACTGAGATGACTGGGAGATGCACCAGCTGTACCCCCTACTGTGCCAACCTGCTGTGCTTTAGCCACCCGGCGCTCCGCTCGTTGTTGTGAGCGTCGCTCCTCTTGCCCTCAGTTGTTGTTGGAGGGCGACTGCCTCCAGCTGCCCAGTAGCAGCAGCGTCCTTCACGAGCCTCCTCCATCATAAGTAGGCACACACACACACACGAACACACACACGCGCGCGCGCACGAATCGCCCATACACAAGTGGAGCAAGGTCATACGGATTTGTCGCGGGGAACAAAAGCGTCGCGAACAACCCTGGGTTGTTGTTGTTGTCGTTGTTACCAACACGCGGAAGAGCTGACCAATCGCAGCCCTCCGCCCTGGGGGCTCATCGCGTCAGCGTTCGCACGCAGCCGCGCTAACGCCGTGTTCGTAGTGGCACCGAGCAACACAGAAACGCGACCTTCCAAGGTCGCTCTTTTGTGTTGTGCTCCCGTACGCGTGCGACGGACATAGCACGAGGCAGCCCCGTAGCATCGGGGGGGGTGGGGGGGTACTGATTTCCACCCCCTGCTAAAGGTTCAGCCACCCCCTCTTCGTCTAATATGGGATGGGCACGACACAACGTGAGGTTCGGTACAATTAAGAGACGGACGTCGCAGCTTTGTCTCCTTGTGTAATGATCTCGAGGACGCCCTTCCGCTAGCAGTCAGTCACGTGAGCAAAGCAATTTCAGTCCTGCGCCTCTGCCTTTTTTTTTATCATTTACGGTGATGAGAGCAAATTGCCGCAAGAACGATGGACACCTCGGATAGAATCATCGTCGCCAGTCCTGTTTGTGGCGGTTCGACTGTCTCTCCCGTTTGTTTCACGTGGACTCTGCCGTGCCTCCCTCCCTCCCCTGAGTTTGTGTATCACCCCCCCCCTCCTCCCTCCCCCCTTAAACGGGGTCACGCTACGGGGCTGGCCGGCACAAGGCAAGAGCGGCGAGCGTCCGTGGACACAGCCTCGTGTCAACGACCCCCCCCCCACCTCGAGCGACTCCGCTCAACAGATGGCGCGCGGGATTAGCAGCGCTCGGCGCACCGCAGCGACCCTGGAGCCTGCGGTCCCCGACCGCACTCGGCTCCGACTGTCACGAGGGGAGCCACAGCGACGGGATCAACGCGTGGGGTTGGGGGGGGGGGGCTCTCGACGACGCGGCCGACCGCACCTCCACGCGCGACGCGAGCGCGCGTGGCGCCGCGTTCCTGCATGCGTCCGCCACTCGACACGTTCGCCAACCGGTTTAATTGATGGTGGCAATACTTGGCACACTAATGCCCGTGTTGCAGGCCAGGTCCACAGGGCCAGCTGCCCCCGGGAGTGCCCCTTCAAATGTTTGAGTTGGGCTGCCCCAGCGTAGAGGGCGCTATACATCAAAGTAAATCATTCTCACGATGATTAAGATCGTCGTGTCGTGTCTTTTTTTCGCATGCGCGTGCATGTTAATTATTTACACGCAATAATAAATAAAGTGATGGTCAGTATGCTGCTACTGATTGACACTACTGCGCGATCGAGACGTGACCGCATGTATAAACGCACAAGCTCAGTACCGTGTTAAATAATAAAGTGACGATGTTGATGATGTCTGTTATCGCTACAAACATAAGTCGATTTAACAGGATAACGTTGGGAGCAATGGCCATTCTTCAGAGTAGAATGTGTAGCCTTGAGTGTATTGAATGGTGAACGTAGTGAGTGTTCTTTTTCTAGATTTGAAGCTTTCGTGACTGCAAGAATTCATACTCTTTGGTTCTATTCGGTAAAGTCACGTAGGTAAAAAACAAATTAAAAAGAAAAGAAACAATTAAAAACACGACGTTTCGGAGGCAACGCAAGCTTCCTTCATCAGGTGGGACCAGTAACAGCCAAAATTATTTTTAATTTGTTTTTTACCTTACGTGAGTTTACTGAATAGAACCAAAGAGTATAGTGTTCTTTTTATTTGTTATTCTGAGCCCCCACTGCCAAAGCGAGTTCCTTTGTTTAACATTTCCAAATGTTGTTTTTTGTTGTTGTAATTACTATGTTTGCTTTTTTTTATCCCTTTCCTTCCTAACACAAGTTGGACGTAATATTCGAATTCATTATTATCGACAAAGCGGGCGTGGTTTGAGCATAGCTGCTGAAACGTGTTCACGTTCTCAAAACAGCTATCGATTTTATTTGCGGTGCAATTATCTCTATTCTGCATCGTGTTGTGTTGCTTCAACTTTGAACCGTTAAGTGTACACCCTACCGGTTGCCGCTCTGCTGACCCACACACCTTGGCAGCTCAGTTTGAGTGGTGGCGCAGCGCTTGTGGCCCCTTCACTGCACAATGAACTCGATCAACCTCGATTTCGATTCCAGGCCACGGCTCACCATCGTCAGTGACGAGTGATATCTGAACCGGTGCCTAGCTCCAACCCACATTTCACGAACACTCACCAACCCAGCATGGTCAAACAGGGCCCCGTGACTGGCACACAACGTGGGCAGATATATCTTCGTCCAGCAGTGGATTAACACAGGAGGGGCGGGGTGCAAATAAAAGAGTGTCTTGTCCATCAACGATTCATCACCCGGACACCAAGGTGACCTCCAGCAAACAGCTCAACAAGCACCACCAACAACAACAAATTCCATACAACAGCACAGGCGCCTTCTCATCAGAGCAGGCAGTTGTCGACGGGACGTGTCGTCCATCCATACAATCGAGTAAGTCGCCCTTGGATCAAGTCCTTCGTCCGAAGTATTCGCCGCTTCACATCGAGATTCGTACATATTTCAGGTTCCTCCCCCCTCTCCCAAGTGTATCTTGAGCGCGGAGAGGAAGCTATGGGATCGGCTCGCCTGCGAGATGGATTGTTCCATCGCAGGGCCGTGAGAGATGGCGACGGAGTGCTTGGAGAGGGCCGTCATCCGGCAGTGGTTTGATCATGACAGATGACGATAGAGTCGTTAATAAGCTCACGGCCACATGTGGGCCATCATCGGGCATTGGTTGAGTTGCTGGAAATGAGGTCGATGGGGGGGGGGGGGTACGGCGGCGGGAGGGGGTGGAGGAGTTTGAGGGGAGGGGCTTGGGGGAGCACATTTTCTTTCCCCCTCCCCCACGTCCTCCACCCCCCCTCCAGACATACACCCAGACCCCACTTCCCTCCAGTGAGAATGATAGGAAGTGAATTTACAAAGTGACTTGACCGAGTTTCCTTTGCTGCCGTTTCACGATCCTCAAACTCGCAATTCCGCGTCTTTATTTCCCTCGGCGTTCGTCCTTTGGGGTTAGGCATCTCGCGAAATCATAACTCGTCGGCGCTCACAGACCCTCCACACATAAAGTACCTCTAGTCAGCAGTCGAAGCCTTTCTGACGTCAAGTTCTATCAGTCGTTCGCACTCGCGCAGCCAACGCGCTCGGAGTGAGATTCCGGGGCTCGAGAGGGGTTCGGTGCATGGGCATTTGATCCGCAGAGGGAACATCAGCTGGACAGTTATTGTGTTATTGTTCTGTATGACCTCACCGAGGGGGCAGCGGTGGGGTCAGAGTGGGCGGGACAGTGTGGAGGGGGGGGGTGTCATTGTATAATGCGTGACCGTGTGCATTGTATGTATGGGACTGTGTGTCCGCGTCTGAGACTGTGTGTATTGTGTGTGGGGCTGTGTCCGCCTGTGTGTGCGTGTGTATAGGGCTGTGTGCGCGCGTGTGTGTGACCGTGTATATTGTGTGTATGGGGCTGTGTGTGTGTGAGTGGAACAGTATATATGTCTTTGGGGCTTTGAATACTGTTTGTGTGTTTATGAGTAACGGTCTGTATTAAGCAGTGTGTACGTATGTTGAGAGACGGTGTGCGTGTGTACGTAAAGGACTGTACGTATGTAACAATATGAGTGTGCAGAGGGGGGGGAGTGTGTGGCGGGGTGTATGTATGGTAAAACGTGTGTGTGTTGAACAATGTATGTGGCTGTAGGTGTGTTTGTTTGCAACAGTGTGTGTGGACGTGTTTGTAACGGTGTGTTAATGAATATGGTATACCTGTGTATGGATGTGTATGCATATATACAATATCTACGGGACTGTGAGCGTGGGGCTGTGCGAGTGAGTGACATATACAGCACGTCGACTCTTAGCTCCTTCAACCCCATCTCCTATCGGGACGCGACCTCCTAAATCCACTCACTCTCCTTGACTCGCATCACCACTTAAGCGAGAATCTACTCCCGTACGCGCATCAACCCTCCCCCCCCCCACCCCACCGAATCAAGTATGAACCTCTTGTATCCATCATTGCCGTATTTTTCTTCTTCTTCTTCAAATCCTCACACACGGTAGGACACAGCTAGCGCGGCTACCGGTCGAGCGTGAACGTCCACCGAGGCTGCAAGTCGCGAGCTCCCTCCTCCTTGAGCTCGGCGAACACCTGCGTGAAGTAGTGCGGATCGGCGTTGATGCGCAGCATGTGCGTGCTCATGAGGTCGATGATGCGCAGGCATCGCTCCCAGAAGGCGTCCCGGCTGCTCTCCACGAGGAACGGCTTCAGCGGGTACGAGATCTCGTTGCCCATGTAGGAGTAGGACAGGTAGAGGCACGTGAGCAGCGCGGCTCGCAGCTCGTGCTCGCTGCCCGTGTGCGCGCTCACCGCCTCGCGGCACAGCAGGTAGACGAAGACCACGTTGACGGGCGTCACGAACGCCTGGTCCTGCCAGCCCTGCAGCAGCAGGGACCGGTCGACGGCGCGCAGCCACAGGCCCGGCTCCGACGGGGACAGGTGGCGCAGGCGAGAGCAGCGACGGCACAGGAACTCGCCCAGGCACTTGAGCAGCTCCGAGGTGGAGGCCTGGACGACGACTCGGCGCGGCGGGCTCCGCAGCAGCGAGCTGCCGGACCCCGGCTTCTTGGACGACACCTGCAGCTGTTGCTGCTGCTGTTGCTGCTGCTGGTACGAGGGAGGTGGGGCCGCCTTCCCGCCCCCCGGTAACACCTGTGTGTGTGTGTGTGAGCGCACACACGCACGCCACCACCACCACCACGACGACGACAAGCGGGTCAGAGAGAAGTACGAAGAGCAGGGGGCAGATGTGCAGTCACGACGTGCTTGGTGGTGGTATTGACCCTGCAGGCAAGACGTTTTGAATGCAACCCCTCCTCCCAACCCTGCCCAATTTAACCCCCCCCCCCACACACTTTGTATACCGGCACCTGTGCCCCGTGGGCAGTTGGCACCGTCTGCCCAGACAAGAGCTGCCACGGTGGGCAGAGTTTGGCGAGCGGTGGAACGGCGGCGCGGTGGTCAGCGCACTGCGCGATGAATCACGCGCAATTATATTCGATTCCCCCGAAAGTGGCTAACACGAGTGGCGCGTAAACATCTGAACAGATCCTGGCACACCTTCGTCACAAACACGGACTGACCAATGTGGTGGAGTATGGTTAAACGCCCCCCTCCCCTCCCCCGCCGCTCCACCGCGCCACGATCTACACGGTGTGGGGATGCCTTCATCCAGCAGTAGAATCACAATACACCGCGAAAGTTGGTGGAGATAGAATTGCCTAGCGGTGGCGTGAGACGAGGCAGAGGGAGTAGTCGTGAAGATCACGTGACCCCCCCCCAGCCGCCCCCCGTAATCTGGCTGATGAATAAAGATTCGACGAATCATCACGATTCAGGCTCGCGATTCAATTCAAGAACCGATTGAACCATTTGCATTGCGGCGCATGTAGCGGCCTCTGGCGGCTACAGGGGGTCAAGTTACTCATTTGAACCTACACCGTCTACGACTCGAAACCCCTCGATTCCTCCACACGCGCGATTCGATGGATGTGTTGCGAATCTCGAACAAAGAGAGATATTTGGCGAGGTCGGTGCTTCGTGGTAACATGAGGTTTTGTGTCTGTGTGGCTGTAACGAATGGGCGATCGGATTCGACTCGAACACGAGTCGACTTGGATTCGCGTCAAAGTGGTGGAGAGGCGTTCCGCCTCCCCTTTCACAGCCCTTTGGCTCGTGGTGGAAATTCCACATTCCTCTGACGGAGTGAGTCCATGTATTGACGAGAGCTGGTGAAAAATAGCGTATTTGGCTCAATTGGGCTTACCCGAAATAAACTGATTGACGTCCTACAAATTCGTCCTCGTTTTTGTTTATCGACCTTAGCAGGGAGGGGGTGATATGCGGAGTCGATTTGAAACTTGGGATTTGAACTAGGGAGGGAAACCCACCGATCGCAATGACAACGGTGGCGGTCATTGATGCGTGCGTCAGAATGATTGTGGTAACTGAGCGATGATGTGAGTGAAACCAATCAACATGTGCACCGTGATGTTTGGGGTTCTAAAGTCGCTATTTTGGTCTTCAAATGTTTTCTACTTAATTATATTGTTCCAAATGTTAAGATTTCTAGCCCTTACAGCACGTTAAGATGTGCACCCAACGACTCATTCGGTCGCGATGTGTTGGATAATGACAATGCAACGCAGACCAACATCTACACATTATCATCAGCCATGCTCAATCCGCCCCTGGATGAAAGCCTCCCGAACGAATGCCTCGTCGTCTCTCACGTTCGTGCCATGCCACGGATCCACGCCGTTCGTGATTGATTTAATCACATTAGGATAATGGGATATTCATATCATAATTGGTTTTGTTTCCGTTTCAGCCCACGAGACGTTCCCGGCGCATCCACACAGCTTGAGTCAGCCTGCGTCTCTGGCATGGTACTGTCGATCGGCTGATTTCACTATGTAACGCGACTTTTGTCCCTGGGTAGTAAGTGTTATTTTCTAATTGCTTATGCCTCAAAAGTATAGAAAATCGCTATTATTCCCCACAAACTTTGCTTTTGTGACCAGGACTTTATGTGAAGGAATGACACAAATGCACACCACGTTTTCTCATTGAAAATCGGTCAATTTTAAAATGTGACCGTCCTGGTCACAAAAGCAAAGTGTGTGGGGAATAACAGCCATTTTATGTACTTTTGAGGCATGAGCAATTAGAAAATAACACTTACTACCCATTTTTTTGTTACACAGTGTTCGGAGCGATAACGACCCGGTCGTATCGATATAACCACAGATCGACTGTGCATTCGCAAGTAAAGCTCTGGCAAATCGACGCGTCACGATCTCGAGTACATGCAATAACATCACGTACATTTCGTATAATTAATACTCGTGATAATGTACAGCCCTTTACCAAGCCGCTGGCTGGTCGAAGTCTGCCCCCAAAGTGGCGTTGGTCATTCAGGGTTGTTTCACCATACTTCACCACGCTGGTCAGTGCGGGTTTGGTGAACGGGCAAGGCGCTCAGAAGCACCGATTTAAGACCCGTGCTTGCGGGCAAATCGAACTCGGGTCGCACGTGCGGTAACCATTGCGTCTCCGCTCCACGACCACGCATTCCGTGCACTCGTGCGTACTGATGTGAGTACTGTACATATATGTACACGGATAAGACTATCTCGGCGCTATGCGCTTTGCCGGTCAGCGCAATCTGCAGAGAATCTATCAGTCGATAGGAATTGTTCGCCCGTCTCGTCGTGGCAGTTAGCGCCCGTTGACTCTCGGTATTGATCGGGCGGAATTTTCCGACACTCGTCGAGCCAGATTAAGGCACAATGGCGAGACGCAGTCGGGGGCGGAGTGGTGGGGGGGTGATGAGAATGGAGGGAGGCACGGTATTGGGTAGGCTAGCGGTTCTGCATTGGATTCGTCAGTGGTTCCATGTTTTGACAAAACGGTGGTTGTGTATTGGATGGGTCACTGGGCCTGCGTCGCGTCACACGAGAGATCTAGATTTATCCAACGGTTATGCATCGTGTGAGTTAAGCATTGATACAATGTTTCTGCGTATGATGAATGCATTATTCTGCATTTTACGTATCAAGGTTCTCCATTGTATGAACCAGTTGTTCTGTATTGAATGGGTCGAGACTCTATAATGTAAGGGTCCTGTATTAGATCATCCAATGGTTCTTTATTGGTTAGGTCGCTGTCGCTGGTATTGACCTAAGCTGTCACCCGAATTCCCTATCATCAACTTTAATCGACAATTGGAAAATAAAAAATATATTTAAAAAACTCTCCAGTGTGCGACTGTGGCCATCCAGAACAGACCGTACAGCATACAACGACTCAACCCCCCGGTCCACAAATACGAAATAGACATCACAGCGATACACGCCGCTGCTCCTGACGTGGTTATGTGGCTCGACCACCTAAATGTGAAAATGTAATTGTTGCTCTGCGTCGACATTAGCCATACGAAAGAAGACCGACAATTTCCTACTAATCATTTTTTTGAAACCACGAATCACCAAGCGTACACATCCACAGCGACAGCAGACAGAGCGATCTTGAGCGATAGCAGGCGACGCGACTGTGCACCGCGTGAGATTGCGTCGTGACCGGCGGTGAGACTGAATCGCGCGTGAGAACGCACGAATACACATTCTATAGCCTGGCTGCTGAATGTGCAGTCGATATGGGGAGAGAGAGCAGTGACGCAGTGGGATAATCACCAAAACTGGCCACCTGAGTTCGATTCCCGGCCACGGCTTATATCAGAAGCGAGTAATATCTGAACCGAATCTGGGTCCAACCCACCACTTATTTTCACCGACAACCCACAGTGGCCAGCATGGTGAAGTATGTTCAAACGACCCCCACGACCGACGCAGTGTAGGGAGACTTTCACCCAACAGAGGATTGACAGAGGGTGATATCGTGCATTATTAATGTTAACTACGTATCGCTCGGAACCCTCTATAAAAGGACGGGGGGGCGATTGTTCAGGTGGCAAGTGGGGGGGGGGGGGGGGCAATGCGCTGGCTCGCATTTATTGAAATTGAAACTGTAAACTAATTTAATTTTTACCAGGTAAGGCCCACTGAGCGGTGTTGCTCTTTTTTCAGAAGCGACCTGGCCACAAATCATAGCTGAACGAAGTGGCTCATCGTGTGGACATTTACAGCAGCGAAATACTCTAAACGCGTGATATTGATTCTAAATGTGGAGGGAAAAACCGGAAAACCTGGAAAAAAATCGACCCGACCTCCTGTATAACAGACGAGGTAGTTAACATCTCGCCACCGCGGAGCCCAATATACATGCCGTGCGGGTAGAGCCCTAATCTGTGCTTAAATACTTAAATCCACGATTTGTCTCTAGTACAGATCTGCATCATACAGACGACGATCGTGACTGGGCAATGCGAATTCTCATTCTCTGGGACTAGAGAGCTGAGCGACTGGGGTGAATTCTGATGGTGTTCTAGAAGGGCTACAAAGCTGAATGACTGGTGTAAATAGTGATGATGCTGTAGAAGGGCTAGAGAGCCGACATTGGGCACAGGTAATAATGTCAAGCCTGTGCCTCTACTGCAACTAGAAACCACCCGAAAGTCCACATTTTAGATTTATGGGCCCCCCAAAAATTAGGACCTCGGAAATGTATTGATTTATCTTAACCTGATCTGGACCTTTCTTAGATAGACTCAAGCTTAAAATAAATACATACACATCGGTCTTGATAATGATTTGCGAGCAAAACAATGACACATTCACGAAGGAATGGTGCGAGGGGTGGTGATAGCGGTCGGGGTGGAGATCGAGTGGTTTGATGGAACGTGGTAGTTGCGTGGTTCTTGCGGAGTATTGGATTTGTGGTTGAGGGGTATTGGATGATTTGTGGGGTGGTTTTGGAGGGGGGCTTGATTTGGGGGGTGGTTTGTGGTGTGGGGTGCGATGGAAATTGGGTATCCAGGGTATGGGGGGGGTAGTTAAATGTTGGGGAGCGGTGGCGCAATTGCGAGCCCGTTGCGCTACAAACCTGTCGACCCGATCTCGATTCCCGCTCAAGAACGATATCAGTGGTGGGTATTTGAACCGGTACTGTGCCTCCCCTAGGTCGACTCAGCCTCAAATTAGTACCTGGTGCGGTGCGTAAACATCGCCACGAGGGAGTCAAAGTGGGGTGGGGGGTAAATGTGGCAAGTCGTGGTACTGGCCACGCACCCCCTCGTGTACTGTGCCAGGCTTCATAGGTGCTCGCGAACAGAACTTGCGCCAAAAAGTATGCTAGGGCTGTCCTGTAGATCGTTGTCTTTTAGTGGTTGAATGGTTGAGGATTCCAGGTGTTGGGTGGGTGGGTGGGTGTTAGCAGGTTGAGTGGTTGAGGATGTCAGTTGTTGGGTGGGTGATAGCAGCTTGAGTGGTTGAGGGCTGTCGATAATTTTTCAAATAACCCGTCTGCGTGCGTCTCACCGGTGCGGGAGGCTGGCAGTAGGCGCTGAGGTTGGCGCACGAGAGCGACTTGCGGAGGACGCCGCCGCCGTTCCCCTGCGCCAGGGCAGGACTCGTCTTCTTCGCGCTCTTCTTGCGCGTGGAGGCGGCCACGAGGCGCTTCCACGTGAGCGCAGAGATGAGCATCGAGTGGCGCTTGAGGCCCTTCTCCTTGGCGTTCTTGCTGTTCTGCACCGCCGTGTAGCGCGCTAGCGACGCGGGGCCATCGTCCGCCACGGAGCGGACTTTGCGCGAGGACGGGGACAGGGACAGGACGGTACCCATGGCTCCGGCCGGCTCACGTGGGCAGCAAAAGTGCTGCCCTGGCGTCGTCGGATGAAGAGTGGGGTGGGGGGGGGGCAGCGGAGGCTAAATGAATTAATGAATAATATAAGCGATAATTTGTGCAATTGTTACCAAAAATAAAAGCATGGATTTGAATGAAATACAGTCCGCACGGACGCGCGCTGTGAATGCTGCGAATGGATTGTCAAGCGGGTGAGACGGGAGCGTGAAATGAATGTCTCGCGGAGAACACGGGTCTCACAGCGCGATGTGGGGTGAGTCTGAACGGCATGGAGAGGCGGGGGGGTGTGGAGTAGACGGACGGTACGAAGAGGCGACGTGGCGATACCGTTAAGAGCGAGACAGAGACGTCGAGAGCGAGCGATCGGACCGCGAGACGGAGGTGGCGTGCGCCGTGCGTGAGGTGGCGCGCGCGGCGCGGCACCGCTCACAATGGATGCGCGCCTTCCCACTCCCTCTCTCCGTGGCGCTCGCTCGCACTCTCTCCCCTCTCTGAGCCGTCTCCCCCGTCTCCCGCTGCCACTCTAGGCCCTTCCCCCCACTTCGCCGGCAGCGCGATTCTATTGGCGGATTCCCACGTCTCTTCCATCCCTCCCCAACCGGCACCTCCACGCTCCCTCATACCCGCCCACCCATCACGTGTCGCCCGTATTACAATTGATGCGGTTGTTTTCGCGACATCCAGCGGATTTTTTTTGGGTAGAAATAGAACATTTATTTTATTATTTGTATTTCACGCTTCTATATATTTCTGCCTTCTCTTTTACGTAATCGACCGGGGCAATGTGTGACTCGGATACGTATATGGATGATAGCTGGAGGTTGGATTTAATTTCTATATTGAAAAAAACGATGTAAAATTTATCAAGAAACGTATGATCTTATTTGACCAAAGAAATCCATGCATTTCATGTATCCGTAAGCATAAACACATATACACATGGGTATGTGTAGATACTGCATATGACCAAGGGATATCGTGTATGCATGCCCCTATGCATTTGTATACATGTATGCATGCATACAAATGCATAGGGGCATACATACATAGATGGATAGGTGTGCAGAAAATACGTGTGACCTCAAGAAGTAGTAGGCCATGCTTAGAGACCACAGCCGTGGATCACATATATATTTTATTTACACATATTCATGCGTTTGCACTTACGCACGCACGCACGCACGAATGCGTACGCCGATAAGCACGTGGGCACGTGTAGGCAGTGCGTATGACGCTCATGCGATGCGGCGGTGTTGGCGGCGAGAGGGAGACGCGGGCGACACGGAGGTCCCGGTAGCTGTTTTGTTGCAGCTCGGCCAATGAGGAGGCGAGGCACGTGCGCACAGATAAACAAGAACATAAATAAATAAACAACGGCCCTTTTCAACTTATGGAGATTATAGTGACCTCACCAGCGGTTCGCCTGGCAGAAGGATTCCCATTATTGTAATGCAATTTGGCGCATAGCGAGGGATGGGGGGGTTGAGGAAGGAACGTGCGTGGAATGTGCGGGCTGCCAAAGAATGCGCTTTTAAAGAATGATGCTGATTACCATGATGATGATGGTTGAGCTGCTGCTGATGGTGAGTGGATGAGGAGAGTGTGAGTGCGTGGGTAAGTGAGTGTGAGTGAATGAGAGGGTGAGTGAGATGACCGATAACATTGTGAGTGAGTGGGAGAGTGGAGGCATTGCGTCGGTGAATGGGCGTGTGAGTGAGGTCAGTGAGTGAGGAGAGTGTGAGTGAGTGAGGGCGTGAGTCAGGACAGTGACTGAGCGACGAGAGAGCGATTAAGTGTGTGAGCGTGTGTCATTGGTTGAGTGAATGAGGCCAGTGTGTGTCTGTGGATCGGTGTGTGTGTGAGCGAGCGAGTGGAAGGGTGTGTGGGTGAATGAGTGTGTCGGTGATGTCACTGGTTGATGTCAGGAGCTGAATGAGCCAATTGTGCATCTGTCTGTCGTGGCTCAATTTTGAGATCGGGACACTTTGACTTCATGGCAAAGTAGGGATTAATACGTATAGATAATTACAGTGAGGGAAAAAAGTATTTGATCCCATGCTGATTTTGTACGTTTGCCCACTGACAAAGAAATGATCAGTCTATAATTTTAATGGTAGGTTTATCTGAACAGTGAGAGACAGAATAACAACAAAAAAATCCAGAAAAACGCATGTCAAAAATGTTATAAATCGATAGGCATTCTAATGAAGGAAATAAGTATTTGACCCCTCTGCAAAACATGACTTAGTACTTGGTGACAAAACCCTTGTTGGCAATCACAGAGGTCAGACGTTTCTTGTAGTTGGCCACCAGGTTTTCACACATCTCAGGAGGGATTTTGTCCCACTCCTCTTTGCAGATCTTCTCCAAGTCATTAAGGTTTCGAGGCTGACGTTTGGCAACTCGAATCTTCAGCTCCCTCCACAGATTTTCTATGGGATTAAGGTCTGGAGACTGGCTAGGCCACTCCATGACCTTAATGTGCTTTTTCTTGAGCCACTCCTTTGTTGCCTTGGCCATGTGTTTTGGGTCATGGTCATGCTGGAATACCCATCCACGACCCATTTTCAATTCCCTGGCTGAGGGAAGGAGGTTCTCACCCAAGATTTGACGGTACATGGCCCCGTCCATCGTCCCTTTGATGCGGTGAAGTTGTCCTGTCCCCTTAGCAGAAAAACACCCCCAAAGCATAATGTTTCCACCTCCATGTTTGACGGTGGGGATGGTGTTCTTGGGGTCATAGGCAGCATTCCTCCTCCTCCAAACACGGCGAGTTGAGTTGATGCCAAAGAGCTCCATTTTGGTCTCATCTGACCACAACACTTTCACCCAGTTGTCCTCTGCATCATTCAGATGTTAATTGGCAAACTTCAGACGGGCATGTATATGTGCTTTCTTGAGCAGGGGGACCTTGCGGGCGCTGCAGGATTTCAGTCCTTCACGGCGTAGTGTGTTACCAATTGTTTTCTTGGTGACTATGGTCCCAGCAGCCTTGAAATCATTGACAAGATCCTCCCGTGTAGTTCTGGGCTGATTCCTCACCGTTCTCATGATCATTGCAACTCCACGAGGTGAGATCTTGCATGGAGCCCCAGGCCGAGGGAGATTGACAGTACTTTTGTGTTTCTTCCATTTGCGAACAATCGCACCAACTGTTGTTACCTTCTCACCAAGCTGCTTGGCAATGGTCTTGTAGCCCATTCCAGCCTTGTGTAGGTCTACAATCTTGTCCCTGACATCCTTGGAGAGCTCTTTGGTCTTGGCCATGGTGGAGATTTTGGAATCTGATTGATTGATTGCTTCTGTGGACAGGTGTCTTTTATACAGGTAACAAGCTGAGATTAGGAGCACTCCCTTTAAGAGTGTGCTCCTAATCTCAGCTCGTTACCTGTATAAAAGACACCTGGGAGCCAGAAATTTTTCTGATTGAGGGGGGGTCAAATACTTATTTCCCTCATTAAAATGCCAATAGATTTATAACATTTTTGACATGCGTTTTTCTGGATTTTTTTGTTGTTATTCTGTCTCTCACTGTTCAAATTAACCTACTATTAAAATTATAGACTGATCATTTCTTCGTCAGTGGGCAAACGTACAAAATCAGCAGGGGGTCAAATACTTTTTTCCCTCACTGTACATATAGACATGTGAATAATAATACAGTACAGTTGTGGTTAGCGCACTGCACTACGAATCCGGCGACCCGAGTTCAATTGCCAGCATCGCTAACAAATATCTGAATTGGTCCTAGGGCATCTCCTAAGTGGTGTTCACCACCCACGGCCTCGTGTGCCGTAGCAGCCTTCAAAGGTGCTCGCTAACATCACTTGCCTCAACAATCTGTTCAAGGGTACATGGAGTGGGGGGGGGGGAATCGTTGTATTTGTGTTAACCTTACAGTTCGAGTTCCTGTGATGCAAGTTGATGTTAAATTTCGATTTAAAGCTTTCATGACTGCAAGGATTCATCTTCTTTGGTTCTTTCGGTAAAGTCACGTAGAATGAGAATAAAATAATAAATTGATAAAATAAAATAACAATAATATTCTCACGACGTTTCGGCCACAACACAAGCGGCCTTCATCAGGTGAAGGGACGAGACCTGATGAAGGCCGCTTGTGTTGTGGCCGAAACGTCGTGAGAATATTATTATTTTATTTTATCAATGTATTATTTTATTCTCATTCTACGTGACTGTACCGAAAGAACCAAAGAAGAAGTTGATGTGAGTTACTGACCTGCCGTCCCGTCATGCAGTTGTGCAGCCTCAAAATAATGCATAAACACATCTAAATCAGTTTTTTTCGCTGAACCTGGCAACCCTGACTCTTGACCACATCTTACATTATTGCGGAGTGATGTCTGCTGTGATATTCGACATCTTCACCAAGCCACAATGACAGACCAACAGCCCCCTTGTTGACCGAAACGGCACATGGATGCCTTCATCCAGCAGTGGAGTGATAAAAGGCCAATTCTTATATTTAATATTGGTCTGAGTTGAATATTCAATATCTACCTACGTAATACTGCTCGTATATGACTCGCACGTTGCTCAAATCAACTTTCTCCAGTTTTAATGTTTTCAAGCCCCCACGCACAGCGCGATCTCCAACTACAAGCCGGTCAATCTTTCTGCCCTCTCTCTCCACTCTGAATAAGGACCATTGCCAGACACGTCTATTTCAGAACAAATCTATTACCCGTTGTTGTGGAGCACTGTTGGTAAATAATGCATAAACAGACCTCCGTTCTGCGTCTTAGCGTATACAATAATCATCTTTGTTTTAGTCATCGACCTATTATTATAATTGGCTTGCAGACAAAATCGCAGGGCAATTTTAATGACATCGGTGGCAAGTTCGTTTTTTTTTCGACGTAACAAGTAGCCCGCGTGTCCTTGGGACGTGACAATCCGTCCTTCCCTCTCTAGCCAGCCAGGCAGCGAACACAACTTTTTTTTCAAATATAGTACGACACGTGCATTCCTAAATGTAAACACACAGGAAAAATCATACAAATATTTTAAAGGTCACACACGGCGGTCTACTAGAGCGGCAAACACACATCCTTTGGGTTGACAGCCATCACAGTGAACGTTTGTGAAGAATATAAAGGACATCCTAGTGGGGAGGAGATGTAAAGTGGTTAGCCGCTGGGCTATGTATGTTGAACTTCTTTCGCACCGTACGTAGCCAACCGTGCTATGAACCCGGCGACCCGAGTTCGATTCACGCTCACGGCCAACATCGGTGACGAATATCTGAGCCGATAGTGGGCCTCCTCTATGTCGACTCAGCCTTAAACGAGTACCCGGTGCGACGTCTAAAAATCAGTACTGGCGAGACAAAACGCGGCCCGGCGTTTTGCCGGCCACGCAACCCCCGCGTGTGCTGGCCTTAATAGGTGCTCACTAACAGCAATTTCCGCAACGGTCTGTTAAAGGCTACGTGGAGGGGGGAAGGGGGGGGGATCCTTTGTCTTGTTTAGACTTCCTGACCGCAACGACAGATCGCGGCGGGGTTC